CCTCACCTTAATCTCCTTCATTCACCCTCCCTTTCCTATAAGTACTTCCACACATACACACTGTACTTATTTTACAGCCCTGTCTTTCATTATTAATTCGAAGTTGATGTTCATTGGGTTTCTTGATGTATTCCTGCTGTGAGTATAATATACTTGGTCAGTTCAACCCCTTCCTTTACTCTCCTTATTTTTCAACAGGTGTCAATACATATCATTATATCTTTACCTTCACAGATATTGTATATTATATTTCGACACCTTATCATTCCCTTTTCCTTTCCCTCCTTCCCAGAGTTCTATAGAGTAGCTCCTCTATTACAAACATGTTCTACATATGTGTTTCTAAATGATCATGTTTGCTGTTGTGTTTATCTTTTGGATCTATCTTCCACATATGAGAGAAAACACGTGACCTTTATCTTTCCAGCTATAGCCAACTGATTTTTGACAAAGGAACCCAAAGTACACAATGGAGAAAAGACAGCCTCTTTAACAAATGTTGTTGGAAAAACTGGATATCCACATGTAGAAGACTAAAACTAGGTGCCTGTTTCTCACCCTGTACCAATAACTACTCAAAGCAGATCAAAAACCTGAATATAAGGCCTGAAACTTTTTGAAACTACTACAGGAAATAATAGGAAATACACTGGAACATATACCCATAGGTAATGACTTCTTAAAGAGAACTCCAACAGTTTAGCATCTAAGAGAAAGAATGGACAAATGGGACTGCATCAAACTAAAAAGCTTCTGCACAGCAAAAGAAACAGTCATTAGACTCAAGAGACTGCACACAGAATGGGAGACAATCTTTGCCAGCTATTCATCCAATAAGGGACTAATATCCAGAATCTACAGGAAACTCAAACCACTCAACCCCTAAAGAATCAACATTCCAATGAAGAAATGGGCACAGGAATTGAACAGGGAATTTTCAAAAAAAGGAGTACAAATGACCAATAAATACATGAAGAAGAAGTGCTTAATTTCCCTGGCTACAAAATCCTCTTTTTTTTTTCTGTGTTGAGGGCACAACACAATGCTATCTAGTTTTTTAGGTGTCTTACCTATCCTCATATCTCCCTTGTGTGCTCTCACTTTTATCATGTGCTCATAGTCCAATCCCCTTGTTGTGTTTGCCCTTGCTCTAATGTCCACATATGAAGGAGAACATAGGATTTTTGGTCTTTTGGGCCAGGCTAACCTCACTCAGAATGATGTTCTCCAATTCCATCCATTTACCAGAGAATAACATTTCGTCCTTCTTCATGGCTGCATAAAATTCCATTGTGTATAGATACCACATTTTCTTGATCCGTTCGTCAGTAGTGGGGCATCTTAAATACCTTTTTTGAAATATTGCCAACCATGGTTGTGCTACTGTGCAATAGAACAATGGGAGAGATTCTTCCTATCCAGCTGTACCCCCATGTCTGTTAACCATCCTGTCTCATCCCCCACTCCCAACTCTCCTCTTTAGGCTCTGGTAGCCACTATCACTTCTATGACATCAACTATTTGGCTTCCAAATATGAACGAGGACATATGGAATTTGACTTTCTGTGCTTGACACCTTTCACTTAATATATGACCCCTTGTTGTACAATTGCTGGATGATATGGTAGTTCTTTTTCTAGTTTTTTGAAGAACCTCTATACTTTTTTCCATAGTGGCTGTATGACCTTAGGTTCCTATTAACAGTGGAGCACGTAGCTACCTTTACTGGAGAGAGATGACATATCATTGTGGTTTTGGTTAGTGATGTTGAGCATTTTTTTCACATACTTTTTGGCCATTTGTATATCTTTTTTGGAGAAATGTTTATTTAGATCACTTTGCATTTTAATTTGTTTTTGTTGTTTGAGTTCCTTATATAATCTGGATCTATTCTGGATAATAATTCCCTGTCAGAAGAATAGCTTTCAAATATCTTCTGCTACTCAGCAGATTGTATGTTAATTATTTTTGTTTCTTTTGTCAGTTTTTACTTTTTTTCTCTTTGCTCTTAAGGGTTATATCAAAACAAAAAGATCTTTGCCCCAACCAATATACTAAATATTTTCTTCTAGTACCTTCATGATTCATTTTGTCAATGCAATCTTACTGCATATAATATTTCTAGGATTATAATGCCTTTAATTTTTTATCCTGGCAGTATTCTTGCTTTGTCTTATATTCCCTAGGATACTTATCTAATCTTGCTTCCCTATTTTGGGGAATTTAACAAAACATATTCTTTTATTTCTATTTAAAATTCCTTTAATCTGTTCAATTTTTCAACCTCTTCATGACTCATACCAAAAAGGCAAATTTTCTAAACAGTTTTGTCATCCACTATGATAATCTCTGATTTTATTTGTAAAGTTTATATTTACTATGTTTGATGAAAGTTATTGTATTAGAGCACAAGCCTACTATCTTGTTGCTTATTTTTGACATAACATGCTTACTCCCCTCACCTGTTTTTTCCACCTTCTCTTGTAGTTTGATATTGAAAATATCAATAGGAATTTATAGTTTAATATAAACATGCATGCATATTGAAACACATCCTCACATATATGTGCTTCCACACCCTGCAGCTGTCTGTGTCTGTGTGCACACACTCATTTTCTGAATTGAGACACAGAACGGTAGTAGAAATAGTGACATACAGTAGGAATTAGCACAATCAACATGCAGACATTGGATTCTCTATGCTGTTCTCCTCTTCCCAGTTATAAGAAATGAGCTTTATCACTGAGAAATGACTAAAGACCATTTAACAAGAGAAGTTGCAATAATTAAAAAGAAAACATGGAAGAACAGAAAAATGTAAAATAAACAAAGGGAATATATAGGTTAAAAGTTGGTAGGTTTAAACCAAATTCTAGCAAGAATTTGACTTTGTAATTAAAAATCTTCTCACTTCTGCCCAGAAGCGGGAGGGTGAGGGTGGAAGGTGGCCCAAACAATGTATACACATGCGAGTAAATGTAAAATTGATAAAAAATAATTAATTAATTAATTAATTAAAATCTTCTCACAACGGACGCTTCAGTTATAGAGGGCCTCTAGGGTGAATTGTAAAAGTATTTGAATTTAGAAAAAAATGCTAATCTTGCAAAAACACAGGGGCACAGAAAGTTAGCACACTTCCCAAGTAATTTTATAAGGCATTATATCTACATATCGCAACAACCATGCTCTAGGGAAGTAAAATATTTCTCATGACTCCAATTCCAAAGCCCTAAAGTAACAGCAAATTAAATCCCATGAACATAAAATAAATCACTAAAAAATCGGGGTTATCTCCAGAATGAAAGGCTGATTCACTACACCCAAGAAAAAGACACACCTGCACACATGAGTATATACAAACCTATTCGAAAATAACAGTTTCCATAAACTTATGTCATTTATTAAACCTACAGCCAGTATCATACTTATTTTTGTCATGCTGAGTTTGCTCTTACAGTAAAAGAAAAACAAAACACAAAGAAGAAAAATCCATGGATTCCTGGCAAAGGTGAGGGAGAGAGAGAGAGAAAAAGAAAAGAGAGAAGGAAAGAGAGTGAGAGAGGAAATGAGGGAAGCGAGAAAGAGAGGGAGAGGAGAGGAAGAAGGAGGGAGGCAAAGAGGAGAGAGAAAGAGAGAAATGGAGATTAGAAAAATGAAACAAAATGGCCCTAATTTGCAAATAAAGAGTGTAAAACACAGAAAGTAAAAGAAACAGAAGAAAACTATTGTTATTATTAATGATAGTATGATTTGCAGAATTCATAGAGTATATATATATTCACATTCATTTTATTTCTATAAAATGAAATGAACAATTAAAAAATAAACTTTACAAATGCCATTTTCCATAGCATAAGAAAACACAAAAGGATATGTAGGAGTGCTACAATAAAAACTACAAAATATAGTACAGAAAAATTAAATAAGACAAATAAATGGCAAAAAATAATACCAAGCTCATGATTTGGAAAGGTCAATATTATTGAAATTTCATTTCAATCACAACTTGATTTGTAGATTGGATATGAACCACTTTTAAATTCCAGGAGTATGTTTAGGTTTTGTATATAAAGAGAAATGACCTATCATAGACAAAATAATTAAGAGCAGCTAATTAAGTCTTTGAAACAATGACAATTAAGGTGAGAGGACACACTTGGAAAGATCTGAGGACATTTTGAACTACTTATCCTCCCAAAATTTTAACTGCTTCCTCATTAGTCCTATGGAGATGACTCTCAAAGACAGTCTATAAAACTACTTACACATCAAAAATGTTATGCACTATAATGAGGTATAAATAAAAAACAATGCACTCACACAGAGTCATTAAAAACATGTGTATGCACATGCTTCAATATTCACTTACTTCAAATTTCCCATCTTTAGAGCCTGGGACATTGACTTCATTCAGAGCTCTGTATTTTCTAGATTTAATATTATGATGTGTATGTATTAGTATTTTGATTAAATTAACATTACTTCCATCTTCCAAAGGACTTACACACACACACACTTGAAGATATTCCTTTATAAAAGTGACAGTTTAAGACCATGATACAAGGTAAATGTAAGTATGGCCCTAATATATATTATATATGTACACAAATTCTTTTTTAAAAGAATCCAGTAAACTTTACATATCATTTGTATCACAGGAATTCTGAACTTTTTTTTCTGAGTCTCTGTTTTAAAATAGTTACATGTTACTTGGAAAATGAGAGAAAAATCAAATACTTGCTTTCGTTAACACTAAAAGACACTTCAGCGTGGTTAATTAAGACACAAAGAAAATTTGACAATTGGCTGTATATGAATTGATTTGGGCCAGTAGTAGATTAAGAAGAAAATACCTTTCTTTTTTTTTTTTTTTGGCTTAAGGCAACAGAAATTTATTCTTTCAGAGTTACTGAAGTTAAAATTTCAAAACCAAGGTGTGGCCAAGGTTATGCTGGAGGAAAATACCCATTTTAAAATAAAATTAATTTCTTAATTACATGCGCTTCTGGCTCCTTGCCATCCTTGGTGTTTGTCTCAATCTTCCGTGGCACTGTGATTTGTAGAAGTGGTGTTTCAAAGTCTGCAGTGAGGAAAGCCAGCGGGGTTAGCATTTCCTGATGGACAGTGGCACACTCTTTGCTGGTGACACTGGCATACACACACATAACACACACCATCTGTTTCACACACAGGTGTTCTTTGTCACACACTGTCACAAGCACACTCACACTCTGTCTCACACATGCACATGTGCTCTGTCACTCACACATACAGGACAGTGTGTACTGTCAAATATCCAAACCCTGCTGGACACCCACTGTCACAGGCACACACGCTCCATCACACACATGTACTCTGTCACAAGCACATGCTGTCACACATACATACACTGTCCTACATGCATACACAGTCACACACACACACACCATCATGTACACTGTCACACAACACACAGTGCACACCCACACTCTGCAACAGGCACGTGCAATCACAAATACACTTGCACAGAGCACACACTCACAGGCACACACTTGTCACGGGCAGGCAGGAACTGTGCGCAAACGTGCACACACCGTCACACGCACACACTGTCGTTCACACACTGTCACATGCACACAGCTACTGTCACCCTGACTGCAGGAGGCGGCTCTTGCAGGACAGAATCCGCCATGGTGCAGACTCTGGGGCTGTGGGCAGCAGGTCCCCTCCCAGGCAGCCCTGGTGGCCTAGGGCAGGGCGGGCCCTGCGGCCATGGCCTCCTCCTCACTTACACAGGCCGGTGGAGGTCAGCCGGCCCAGGCCAGACAGGACCAGGAGGAGGGACAGCATGGTGTGGGCCCCGGTCTTGCCACTGAGACAGCCGTTGGGGTGCAACGGTGAAGGCGGCAGCTGTGGACCAAGCCGCGCACTTCCCACGCTGTCAGCGTGTTTGCTGCTGAGGTTCCCCGGCAGAGCCAGCATTTCACCTTACAGTATTCTAGGACAACGGACGGATTCCCTAAGTGAAGGAAAACAGAAAACAGTGGAAATTCAAACTACTCAATTGCCTATTTTTACCCTATGTACCACCAGTTTTCTCCTTTGACTCAGGTGAAAATGCACACACAAATAAAAATCAATTCTTTAAGAGAAAAGTTTGTTTTTTAGAAAATTAATGTCCAGATAAAAAGCTACATATAAACATGTAAGTGTGTTGATTTATCAAATATCAGAGAAACAAAATTTACAACTATGAAATGGCTAAAACAATTAAAATCTATTTATTCACTCTTGTATATTTTTGTTTCCTAGAAAAACCTTAGACTAATTGAAGAGGGAGACATAAATTTTTTCCCAGTCAACATAAACTTCACACGGGGAAAGTCAATACAATTAAGGTGGAGATAACTATTTCTTTACTTCATGATTTACCTATTTTCAATTTTGCACATTTATTTTGGTGACACAAAAGTGTGTCACCAAAATAAGTAATATAAATTTTAGCATCTTAACAATTTAAGGTCACATTTCAGTGAAATTAAGTACAGTCACATTGTTGTGCAGCCATCACCACCATCCATCTACACAGTTCTTCATTTTGAAAAATTAAAAGCCCATTAACTATAACTCTTTATGTCTGTCCCCAGCATTGTCGAGTCTATTTTCTTTTTATCTGAGTTTGACTACAATGAGTAACTCACATAAGTTGAATCATACAGTATTTATCTTTTTATGACTGGCTTATTTCACTTACCATCATATCCTCGAGTCTCATCTGTGCTGCAGAATATATCAGATTTCCCTTACTTTTTAAGGCTGAATAATATTCCATTATATGTTTTTCTGCATTTTTCTGATCATTCGTCCATCTTTGGGCACTTGAGTTCCTTCCACATTTTAGCTACTGTAAATACTGCTGCTCTTAACTTGGGTATATAAATATTTCTTCAAAACTCTGCTTTCAATTATTTTGACTATTTAACAAGTGATAATAGAAAAAAAGACTGATTAAAAAATGAGTAAAGGATTAGAGTAGGCATTCCTCCAAAGAAGACGTACATATGGCCAAAAAGAACAAGAAAAAGTGCTCACATCACTAATCACTAAGAAAATGCAAACCAAACTACAGAGAGCTAGTGCTTCACATCCAATAAGTGGGTACAGTGCATGCCTTTAATCCCAGTTCTCAGGAGACTGAAGTAGGAGGATCTCAAGTTGAACCTGTCCCAAAATAACAAAAACTACCCACCAATTAAAAAACCCCAGCACATGTCTCCCCAGAGATTATTAGTTGCAAAGAGAAAAATAGTAACTCTATTGTCATGAAACCAAATAAGTTGACCAGGTAATCAATAGTAACTTCACCCACTAACTATTTGAAAAGAAGAAAGAACTCAGAAGGCTGAGGCAGGAAGATTGTGAATTTGAGGCTGAATTGGGCTACATAGCAAGTTCCAGACCAGCTTGGGCTTCATACTGAGACCCTATCTCAAACAAAATCACAAAACAATGATGAAAGAGAAGGAAAAGGAGAGGAAGAAAAAGGAGGTGGATGAAGAGGGAGGGAAAGAAGAAGGAGGATGAAGAACCAGAAAGTACTGTGTTGGCTAGGATGTGCGGGGAAATGGAGCACTGTGTGTGCTGCCGATGGGAATGTAAAATGTTATGACTGCTAAGGAACATAGTATGGTGGTCCCCAAAATCCAAAAGTAGAATTGCCTGACTTCAAATACTTTAAATAGGGAATTCAACTGGGTCTGGGGTATCAAAATATATACGAGATACTATGCCTGTGTCCAAATAGATCAGACGCACGCAGGAAGGCAGCCATGTACAATTTATGTCATATCCAGAAATTATAAATTGATTGGAAGGACAATGTACAAATTTTTGTGGGAATACGTTAAGATAGTTTAGTTTTCTCTACACATATCAACAGTAATTACAGAATGGATGTCACATTTGGGATGTGAGTCATAGCTGGATGAGTAAGTGACTTCCTTTTAATTTAGCCTGTGCTATCAGTGATAAAAATGATACCATTCTAAAGAAGACATTTATATAGTAATATGCTGCTTCATAAAGGCTTGACCTTATAGAGTTCTATTCCCTTCCATTCTATTTTATATATATATAGTATATGCATATTTATGTTTATATATATATATATTTATTTACATATATCCTGGTTAAATTCCTTTTCCCTTCTCTTTGGACCATGTGAAAGCCCTTGAATAGTGACTTCCAGAGGAAGAGACTTGTATGTGGAGAAGTAAATTGCATGTGTGATGTAGGTGGATGTTCCTTAGGTATGTTACAGGCTTACTTTAAACGATTTGACTAAGGCTCCAAAGTAACTGTAATTTAATGTTGGTAGTTTAGCAAATTATGCTGAATAGCTTTAATTGCATGATTAAAGTCATCATACTTAAATCTGGATATCAGCATTTAAGCAATTCTTGAAATGTATGAATGTTTATTAAATATACTAACTAAAAAGCAAAAAAAAAAACCAATAAAATAGACAGGAACAAAGGACCTGTAAGAAATGTCTGCATACTCTACACTACAGAATAGGAAGAAAATTCTAAGTAGTAAGGATATCTAAGATATACTTAGGTTGAAAAACAGTTTAACTGAATAATTTGACATGGAGATTGATGCAGTTCTTAAGATGACTATGCAGCTAGGCTGATGATATGGACACCAATTTTAGAACAAGGAGATTGGAACAGTGAATGGGAGGGAATAAGTACATCTAAAGATATATTAACTCTCAGCTGCTTCAGGTGCTTCCAAAAACAGCAGGTCTAGATAGTCAAAGAGTAGTGGGAAATAGGAATCCAGAACCCCAGAGTTTCAGTTGAAAATGCATATTCATGAACACATAAAAAAGGGATTTGCAGGAAAATGCAAATTAATAAGATTATCCAAAAGAACATGTGGAAAGAAAACAATTTCAAGTGTAATTGTGAGTAATACAGTTGACTTGGTGACTGAGAGGAGAAAGAATCCAGAAAGAAAGGAAACTAACAAAGATTAAGATCATTAAGGAATTAAAAGACGGTAATATTTTGGTGATTAAAAATAAAATAGGGACTGGAGATGTGGCTTAGTGGTAGAGCACTTGCCTAACATGTACAGGCCCTCAGTTTTCTCCCCAATACCAAAAGGAAAGAAGAAAGAATAGAATTTCAGAGTGGCGATTGATCAGCAACTTCCTGTCTTCTCAGAGATCAAGTAGAATGAGAATGGAGAAAGTGATTATTGTATTATTTGTAATGAAATAAAGAATATCCGGATCAATTGCACTCTACAAGAAGCAGATGTTAAGGAAGAGTTACAGAGCCAAAGGTTTTTAAGGGACCAACACCTGTAACAGAAAGGAGGAAGCAGGATTGCATAAAGGGAGGCTAGGACCAGAATCAAAACCTTACAGAGATTCTGCCAACCCAGAAGGGCTGCTCCAGAGAAAGTGAGTTTCTAGAGCAAGGACAGGAAAACCCCAATGCTCATGAAAGAGAACTGAACAGTGTAGGCTGGTACCCTGTCTTGCTCAGTAATTAGGTGGATGCCCCCCTCAAAAAGGTCATGTAGTTTGTTCAAAAGCTGAGGCAGCCCCTAAAAGAGCTAAGAATTTAGTGTGGCTGTCATCTTCCACTCATCCACTTGGCAACAATCTATTTCTTGGAGGGAGATCTGGGGAGGGTGCATTTCTCAAAAGACCTTTGCTAGGTTTTTAAAGCCTGTCAGAAGAGTAGATAAAGTAGCCATCATCCAAATAATTAGGAGGAAAAGTGAGGTATACAACATAGATGGAAGAAGTAGCCAATATTTTTAGCAAGACTGATTTAGGAAAGAAGAAACCTTTAGCAAGAGAAAAGATAGAAAAGAATGAAGTATTAGAAAATCAAATACGAAATTATAAAGCAACTTAAGGCAAATGTGAGAGGAGACATTATTAAATTAATAATCTATTGCAGCTTTTAAAAACTAAAGAGGGAAGAAAATATTATGCCAGAAGATTTCATATATAGAAGATGATAAATAGTAGCAGTGCAAATGTTAATAGGTGTTACCTACTGTGAGCTACAGTACAAAGATAGTACCATTTTCCCAATTAAAATGAAAATTGATAGAGACAGGATGACTTTGTTATTTTTTACTTCTATTTTTCTCACTGTGCATACAGAGTCATAACAACAAGCTGCCTGAACAAATATTTAATTACTCAATTAATTAGCCACACAAACTGTGTTATATGCAAGGGGAAAACATAGTTTGAGATGAACAGTGAGAAAGTAGAGTATAAAATACATACTTGTGCCAATTCTCCAACAATGTTTAGTGAGTAGGAAGTGAAAGCATTGCTATGGACACAAGGGACATATAAGTAATTGAGGCAAGGGAGAAAAAGATGCCAATGTAAGGGCAGTTTGGAATTTATAGGAGTAAATGTGCATATTTCTCCCTGGTTCTTCACATGTCCTTGATAGCAAATGCAGAGAAAAATAGAATGTTGCTGAAGCAATGCTATGTGAAGTCAGAGTTATGGATGGTGGAACAGAATGCACCTGGACTTACATGGAGCTTCAGTTTTCTCCAAAATATGCAAATGGTGAAATTAAAAGTTTCTTGTCAAGAAATTATAAGCTATTATTCCACATCATAACTATAATGTCTCATTTAACTTAGAAAGAATCTTAGCTACCACATAGTTGAATCTACTAAGGTAGCTAGTGAAAGAATGTAGGCATCTTTTCTGAAATATAGAGACTGACGTATTCTGAAAAATATCCTAGGGTACAAAGTAAATTAAAATTCTTGATAATACTGTTACAAGTATAATC